CACACACACACACACACACACACACACACACACACACACACACACACAAATCATCTTGTTGAAATAAATTTACATGCTGAAACACAAACAATGCATTCCTTATTATGTGTTAATTTCACATTCTTAGGAGTCCTGGCTGTCATTTTTTTACAAATCTGGAGTAAAATCATTACATTTTTTCACCTAATCTAAAACACTTTGAGTTATTCTGTCATTTTAAGTCATTCAATCTAGATTTTCTGCCTTTTTTTCCTGAGTAAGCTGAATCTACAAATAAACAAATCTAAAATGGTAATTGCAGCTTTATTAAGAGTGAAGAATTTTCTTTAAATAAAAACATTTTGAGCACAGACACAGGCTTAGTAAGGCTGATTACAAATGTTAAACATCAGTTGTTTTGTCAAGTGAAAAAAAATTCAGTTTTACAAATTTAAGTAGTCACCCAAAAGCCTCTTTTTTTAAACTAACTTTTGTTGTCAGGCTGACTGACGCCAGAACTTCCTTGTTCTTTATTTTACATTTCTATAAGTTTTACAAAATCACGTAAAATAAAAACAATAAATGGTAATTATGGAACACATGCATTTGTACCAAATTGTCAACTTTAACTCAAATGAAGCATTTTAACAGTTGTTCAGTTTGGTGAAATAAACTCAATAAAATGAGAGAATGGGATGATTTTAACTTGTTACTCTGCTTTAAACAGTTGCATTTTGCATTTGCACATCTTCTAAAACTTTATTATAAATACAAAAGAGATGTCTTATTAAACTTGCTCTGATTTTTTATCAATGTAACTAAACCCAAAATTTTAAAGTTTGCTAATGAGAGGAAAATGAAGATGCTTTTTAATGCAGTGTTTTCAGTAAATAAAAATAAACAACTTTGTGTTTGGTAGATTATTGATTTTCTGTAACAATGCTTCTTGATAATAATAACAACAACACAAGCTGTTTGGCAGAAAAAATTGGCAAATTTGTCATGTGGGCAACCCACAGCTTTACTGCTCACAAATGCATGTTCCTTACAAATGTGGCACCATTTAAAGGGGAAATTAGACTTTCTAACAGTATAAGAGTTATTGCCAAGCTACCAAAAAACAAATTTCCTTGTGCTACCTTTACAGTATATGTGCTTCAAGCCTCAGCTTCATTTATTTTAATGTTTTAAATGTTATTTACATTTTTTTCCAGGTCTGGTTTCAGAACCGCAGGGCTAAGTGGCGCCGGCAGGAAAAAATGGATGCGAGCACCATGAAGCTTCACGACTCCCCCATGCTTTCCTTCAGTCGCTCGGCTCCAGTTCACACCAACATGGGTCCTATAGCCAACTCCCTCCCTTTGGACCCCTGGCTGGCCTCCCCCTTGTCCAGTGCTACTCCTGTCCAGTGCATCCCGGGCTTCATGAGTCCAACTCAGGGCCAGCAGCCCAGCTATCCCAGCCACGGGTTCCTGAACAGCACGCCTCACGCTCCTCACCCTCACTCTCATCCTCACCTGCCCACAGGTCAGGGGATGCAGAGCATGGCTCCTCCTCCTTACCAGTGTCCGGCTCCGTACCCTGAGAAGTTCTCCCTGGAGGATGTGGACCAGCGCAGCTCCAGCATCGCGGCTCTGAGGATGAAAGCCAAGGAGCACATTCAGTCTATGGACAAGACCTGGCAACCCATGTGACCAACAAATTCTGTTTGGGGAAAAGGGAGACACTGAAATCAAATGTTACTCTTCAGAAACAAGCGGTCACACCTGCTGCTCACAAAACGTAAGAAGTGAACTTTGAACTACGAAAACTAAGATTTATTTTTTGCTTCATCTCAAGAACGTAAAAGTAAAGCCTGATCTGAGGTAATGCTGTTTTTAAAACTTCCAGTTGTTAGAAACCTGTAGATGTTTTAAGTTTAGCTGCAGGAAACTAAGAGGAGGTGACCGCTGCTCTCATCATCATAACTAACACCGGAGGAACACAACATGTGGACCACCCTGACTCTGAAAGTGTCGGGAGGTTGGGTGAAATGTAAATATAAAGAGAACCTCATAAACTGATATTTTATTCACAATGGAACATAGAAAACATATCAAATGCTTAAACGAAAAAGTTGTGGCTTTTTTAAAATGTTACTTTGGATTATGCTGCAGCAACACATCTCAGAAGACTAATCAGGGGCAACAAGGAGCTGTAAAAGTAAGTAGATGAGAAACAGCTAAAGAAGCATTTTGTAGCTACTTTTATTTTTGCAACAAATCAGTAAGAAGTCCAGGTAAAAAGAGCTTTTTAAAAAGGCAGAATCTCTTAGAAATAAAGATGGGCGGAACAATTTCAGAATAATGTTCTGCACTGAAAAAATGGGAAAACTTTGAATGTTTGAACGTCTGACAAAATCATCATAAGATTTCAAAAACGTAAAGAAATCTCTCAAAAAATGAAACCAAAAGTCTGTACTGGACCGTGATCCACAAGCTGTCAGGCGGTGCTGCATTAAAAACAGATCAGACTCGCTGATAGATTCAGGAACACGTCAACAAATCACTATCTGTGATGCTGGTTAAAGCTCTATCAGACAAAGAAGAAGACATGTGGATGTCAAGTCCTCGATACTAAAGAGGAAAAGGACCAATTCAGCCTGTTTTGGGCACACGGTTCAAACGCCTGCCTCTCTGATGGTATGGGGATGCATTAGTGCTTCTAGCACTGACCTTTTTACATTTACTAATGCTCAAAGTCAGTAGTTTGCAATGCATTGTGGTCTAGATAGGATCTTGCCTACTTCCTGTTTGTTGAAATTCACTTAGTCTAAACCGTGTTCAGACCTAAGTTTCAGCTCTGCAGTCACTCCCCAACACCCAACATTGCACTTTGCTATGGCAACGTAAAACATCAATTAAACTAATCTAATAAATATGTTTATATATACAATAAAATAAAAAAATACGTGTAAAAGATCAAAACAACAGAGTTGAACACTGACCAGTAATGTGTATGATCTGTTTTGGAGGCGTGGTGCCTAAATGTATAGAGGTCAAATTGTGAGCTTACACATGTGGAATGGTACCATCTCTGCAGAAAAGTATATACAGGTTTTAGAACAACGTGTGTTCCCATTAAGACAAGGTGTTTTTCTGCATATTTCACCAAGACAATACTGCATTCATTACAACAGTAGTACTGCCTGCCTGCAGTCCAGACCACTGACTGAGAACGATTAATGCATTGTGAAACTTAAAAAATAAAGACCCAGGACTGTTAAACAGCTAGAAACAAAGAATAATCCAGACCAGGATAAAAGAAAAGGACATTATTCAGTGTTTAATACGAGCTCTGCACTTCAGTGCATTCTGTTTTTACTTTCATGTTACACAACATCCCAGCTTTGATGTGCCGTACACCACCAGTCAAAAGTTTTAGAGCACCCTCAATTTTCCAAAAAGTTTATTATTTTTTAATTTTTTTTAAAGTTCAAGTAACTCAAGTCCAATTAAAGGGTACAAATGTAAGTGCTGAACTGCCAGCGGTTTAAAAAATGTAGGATTACCCAAATCTGAAAGCCAAGTTGTCTGTTGAAGACGTTTATTGGACTTATTAAGCTGCTCGAATATCAAATAAAAAATCAGGAAAAATTAGAGTATTCTAAAACTTACTTGCCGGTAGTGTACTTACGTTGTTATAAAACACCCTTTAATTTTTTTTCTTTTTACAAATTTTCCACTGTTCAATTCTGACCTTCATTTCAACAAGCACATGTCTCTAGAGCAGCAGTGTTTTTCACAGACTGCAGATTTTTATATATTTGTAATTAGACCCTGAGACGATCACTGAAGTTAAAAAAAGAAACTATTTTCAAACTGTTTGTTGGGAGCTAAAGCTGAGAATATACCAAATATAAATACTTTCTGCTTTAAATGACGACAGATGTGAGGAAACAGCGAGGTGTACGCTGGTTTTACATCAAGTGACAGTTTTCTGTTTCTTTTTTCTTTTTCATCAGAGTGCTGTCTGTCTGCGTGTACGTGCAGAGCAGCAGAAAGAGCCCTGCGTGATGCCTCACCCCCACATAGTTCAGGCATTGTTTGGCACAATTGATCCAAATGCATCCCTTTTGTCTGAAACTGAAGGGGGACAAACGGTCTCAGGCTGCATGTCGTCGTGGAAGTTTTAGTAACTTAAATTGCAGCCATTAGTCGTTCTTTCACCACCTGTTTTTTAGGGTGAATTATTTTAAATCTTGCAAAAAAGTTGAGTTCATTATTGGATGTAAAAAAATAACCAATACATATATATTTTACTTGACAACGGAAAAAGAGGGAGAACAAGTTCATCATTTTTAAAGTGCAATCCCTTTTATTATTGTGATTTTTTTCTAATCCTAAAAAGGTATTTAAACAACAATCTTGGGTTGTTTCTTGTTCATTTTGCTGTTCAGAGGATCAAACATTTCACTGCTGCTGCTCATGCAGTTTTTCTGTAACAGATCTGTTTCAGATGCGAGTGAAGAACTCTGGATTGTGTAAAAAAAAAAAAAAAAACATGCAACACAAATGTGATTTTGGACCCAGATTAAGCCAAAGGTTGTAGACGATGGATGAAATTGCACTAGAACTGTTTTAGGTTTGTTAGCTGTAATTTTTTTTATGTGAAAACAAACCCTAGTCATGTCTGTTTTAGTGATAATGTTTTATTTCGTAAGAATTATCATGTTCATGTTTTGGTAAAAATAACTAAAATAAATATAGTTTATTAAATACGTTTGTGTGCAGTTTTCTGAGCTTTCGTGTTGGTTCCCACACACCTCTCGAGCGATCCAAGATTACAACAGTTTAATCGTTATCATCTGACATGCATTCTTTCCTCCCTCTGTGTTTTATTCCTCTCTTCGCTCTCTGTTGTCTCACGGTTTGGTGGCAGGGTGCCAGCCTGTTAGGAAGATGAGACTCCAATCAATCAGGAGCCTCCGGGGGGGTGGGGGWGGGTGGGTGGGTGGGGGTGCTGTGGCTCTTTAATTGCACCCCCACACACTTCAGATCTGGGGACGGGCCGAGCCACTGCAACACATGTTCACAGAGCGGAGCGGAGCCGCCGTGCTCCCCTGTCGTCCTCACTCCGGGACAGATGGAGGCCTGAATCGACTGATCTTTGAGGACCATATGGAGGGGCCTGTGGCTGCAAATAGGCCAATGTTTGGATGATTTTTGACGTGTCGTAGAGCCACGAGCTGTTTGTTTGGTGCTTAAAGGTGCTGAGCTCTGTGACCCGGACGAGAGTCAAACACAAACAAAGATTTTCTGACAGATTTGGTCAACAGCAGTTACTCTGAGTCTGAAAGTTTTCTTTTTTCTCTCTCTCTCTCTTTTATAACTTAGAATAATTCAGTCATTCTACAACATACATGAGGGCGTGTCAAAAATCACTGGACAGCCTTTTATTTCAGACACAAAAAGGTAAATGAAATACCTGAACACCCCAGCAAGAGATGGGTGAGGAGACCTCTCTTTTAGGATACGTCCAGAGCATGGCTGCTATCTTGAAGGACGCCATGTTGATAGGATATAGGCCTCCCCTCACCCGTTACTTTCTGCTGTAATCAGATATGTAATTTTTTTATTTGTTTTATTTCTGAAAAAAAAGAAAAGTTCTCCTGAGTGTTTTGACTCATCCTTTACTTTAAGTTAACCCAAACAGATGAGCTCCAGCCCTCTCAGCAACACAGAACAGGACAGGATGAATGAAAACATGATGTAATTAAAAAGTCTTGATCTTTGGTTTTTGTGTTACTAATTTTATTACAAAGAAGTAATATGTGAATCATGATATCAAACTGAAGATTAAGTCAAATTTAGTCAAAATTACTGAAGCACATCTTCAGATTCCTGCGTTTAAAGTTACATTTTGACACCTGGATCAGCCTGATATCCTGAGCAGTTCTAGAGATATGCCTGCCCTTGATTAATCAGTCTGGAATCTGGATCCTATTTTTAGGTTATTCTGATGAGGAATTTTTTTAGTCATTATAAAGAGGAAACCTCAAATAATATCTGGAAAATGAGATTTACCAGCTGGGAAAATTTTTTTTTGATAGCTCCCAGGGAAAAGGACAAAAATGTTAATATTTCCCGCTTAAAATCAGGTTTTTGTTGTACTGCTCACAAACATGCTTCAAAAAATGTTTTAAGATTACATATTATATATTTTATTTTAACAACTCATAAAGTATTTATTCATTACATAGCCTGACTGTGTTGACAGGGAGAACACGTAAACTCCACCAGGAGTCGAACCTGTGACCTTCTTGCTGTGAAACAACAGCTCTGACCCCTTAAACACCGTGTTGCTCAGCTCTGCAATATGAATCCACAGCAGTTCTACTTTTCATCAAGAAATAATAAGAAAAATAACACATAAATACAACACAAGCACTAATTGGACTAATGATAAATTTATTTTAAATAGCTGAAAAGACACTAGATAGAAGTGATAAAAATACAGCTTCTTTGTAAGAAAATAATGAAAGTGATCAAGACGTCTCAGTGGGGAAAAAAAACATTAAGCAGGAGATTAAGTTGAAGAAAAGTGTAAGAAAAACAGAGACGAGGAAGACAGAAGAAGGGAAGTTCTGTGGCTGCTCATCCGGGTTAATGATGTAGAAAATCCTCCAATTAGAGCATTTTCCTCTGTTGCAGGGTGGGTTCAGACGGGGTCCTCTGACAGTCCAGGGATTAGTACCTGGGTTTGGTCTTGCTGAACCGGGCCTGAGCAGATACTGCCTAACAACAGAGCAGCTTCTCAGAGTTTGAGCCAAAATTAGTGGGAAAAATTAAACATGAGGACTTCGTGTCACTTTGGTGCTAAAACCCACTTTAATCCCTTCATCTCAGCATCGAGAACCAATAATACAGAAACGCCCAGAAATAAAACCTTCATGAAAATGTATCTTATCCATGTGTTTCTTGATGTTAAACAGCAAACCTCACAAAAACACTGGTGGCAATAAGATGCAGGAACAAGACCTTTAATCTTCCTCATCCCTGTTTCTCCAGACTAATGATTTTTTTCGCTGTTGAAACGTCTATTTGTTGCCTCCATTCTCCTCAGGGCCGTCTGAAACAGCAACTTGCAGCTTTGTGTCGGCTGTTTGAAGGACACAGCCGTTGACGCACCATTGCTAACAGTTTTACTCTCCTTGACGTTATAGAAAACATATGAGAACGTGAGAGCTTACTACTTCCTCGAACTACTTCCTCGAAAGCAACTGGAGATAAAATGTTCCCGTGAACTTGATCTTGGCTCTTAGAACCTGCACGCCAGTGTGTTGCAACATGTCTTAGTAAGTTAAGGAGATTAGAACAAAGGTGTGTGTTCAGGGCTGACTCTAGCCAATTTGGCGCCCTAGCAAGATTTCAGGTGGCATTTACATTTATGTAATTGTATTTATTGTTTTATTTTATCATTTTATCACCAAAGGTTGCCTTCAGGCCCAGGCCTCCCCTGAAAAAGAGATCTACAATGTCAATGGGATTTAAACAGTTAAAAAAAACAAATAACAAAACAGGCTGAGAAGTTACCTTCATAAAACTGAGTAATCAGTGACTATTTTAAATCAACTATACTCTGATAAAAAATATACGTTTTTGTCCTCCATTTAAGGTGCCCCCTGGATGGATGGTGCCCTTAGCATTTACCTACACTGCCTATGGTGTCTATAAATAAATGTCAACATCGGATTATTTACAACATCTGCTGTTGATGTGAAACAATCAATATGTTAACTGTTAGCTCAACATGAAAACACTTTCTTCTTTTTGGACAACAAACCCAAACTGTAAGTAGAACACACTAACCAGCCACCACTACACAGTCCCTGTCTTCATCACGAACAATAGAAACCATGAAGACTAATTGATTAATTGTGTTATTTTGCTCCTGCACTCCTGCAGATCTTGGAGGACCATGGCTGGAGTTAAGGACGCCGTCCCTGCGCAGGATAATAAGGGAAAATAGCAGAAATAATTGGGTTTGATTGAGGGAGCTTTTGAATGGGGTGCAGCTTTATCTTTTTTTTTTTGAGCATGACATAATTAGAGGTCAGTTAAGGGTGGGTGCACGGGTGAGAGGGGGGGGAGGGGTTGGATGTTGGCGCCAGTGCTTTGTGGGTGTGTCTGTCAGGGAGTGGGGACAAATAGACAGGGTTTCTGTGGAAGGGGGCACTTGTGACTCTGTTGTGTGTCTGATGTACATTTCTATAGACTCACTGAGCAGAAAACACACAGTGAAGTTTAGGAGTAATTGTGTGTGTGTGTGTGTGTGCACTGAGTGTGTCATTATCATCTCTACAATTAGCAGCATTATAAAATGAGTGTTTATGTCTTTGTTACAGTATGTCAATTTATATATATATATACAGCGGGCAAAATAAGTATTGAACACGTCA